GCCGAGGTGGGTGGATCACGTGAGGTCAGGAGTTCTAGACCAGCCTAACAAACACGGTGAAACCCCACCTCTACGAAATACAAAAAAATTAGCTGGGCATGGTGGTGCATGCCTATAGTCCCAGGTACTTGGGAGGCTGAGGCCAGAGAATTGCTTGAACCCAGGAGGTGGAGGTTGCAGTGAGCCGAGATTGTGTCACTGTGCTACAGCCTGGGTGACCGGAGCTAAACTGTCTCAAAAATGAAGATAAAAAATAAAAGATATTCACAGAAACTGTTATTATGATAAATTTAAGCAAGACACAGTGGCCCTAAAAATTAGACATCATTGAAGACCAAAGGAACAGCGTGTGGTCATTCTTTTGCAAATTGAAGTATATAATCTACATAAAATAAATAAATTTAATTGCATGTGTAGGCAAGAAAATGTTGATAAATGATTGACTATCTTATTTCATAATTCTAAACAGGGATTTAGCACCATATGAAAACTAGATTATTCATGTAATCAAAATAAAGGACAATTTTTATTCTAATTTTAACTCAGAAATTATTATGCTTATTTAACAATTTTGCTGAAAGATTAATGAGTTACAAAGGACAGATTATCATTACCTAACATTGCTATGGCAACTTACATACAAATACGTGTTAGTCACCAAAAGTCAAAAAAGCAATTAGCATTACAACTTCAGATGGATCATACAACAGAAACTAGTATCAAGTTACCTTATCTTATAATATTGAGTGTTATTAAAATCAAATTATAAAACACCACCAAAAATTAAGTTCGGATTATAAGTGTTGTGCAAAAAAGATTTCATATAGCAGGTAAGAGACTTCCATCCTTAGAAAGGCCAGTATACAAGGCTGGCCCTTGGCTGGTGTTTAGGAAATTGGAATTGGGAGGGCTTTCACCATTCCCTGAGAAGACTGGCTCACTGTGTCTAACGTGTTTATACAAACAGTGTGGTTACTCTGAACAGCTGCTTTCCTTCTAGAAGTCTCTAACTTGGGTACATGTGAGGGAGAGTAACCTCCATATAAAAACTTGGGTACTTAGTCTCTAATGAGACTCTGGTAGTGGTAGACATCACTGCACCTATGTTGTCAAAATGTGAGCCTGGGAGAATTAAGCAGATCCTGGGAACTCCACAGGAGAGAACTCCTGGAAACTTGTGCCTGGTTTCCTCCAGACTTGACCACAGGCACCTTTTTCTCTACTAATTTTACTTGTCTCCTTTCTTGTAATCAGTTAAAGATCTGAGTATGACTATTTGCTGAGTCCTGTGAGTCCTTCCGATGAACCACCAAACCTGGGGGTGGTCGTGGGAAACCTAGACACGTAAGCACTGCGTAAGATTTTATTAAGTTGATATGATATGTGTAACCGTAACCAGATGGTTATTTCACAAAATAACTTTCCCTAATCTTTTTTTTTTTTGTCACCTTGATACTTGATTTGGAGATTCTTGTATTTCTATATCTATCCAATTGAATAAATCCATAAAAGGAAAAAATGAAACAATAATGTCAGAAAATAATGTGAAATAACCAGCAATCCTATTTCAACCAAATAAATTGAGGATCTGGGTGATTGGCAATATGTTCTACAATATGAATGTTTCTAGAAAACAGCTGGGATTACAGACAGGTGTCAGCATGCCCGGCTAATTTTTGCATTTTTAGTAGAGAACTCCCAGGTTCAAGCAATTCTCCTCCCTCAGCCTCCCAAGTAGCTGGGATTAGAGGCAGGTGGCAGTATACCCGGCTAATTTTTGCATTTTTAGTGGAGAGGGAATTTCACCATGTTGGCCACGCTGGTCTCAAACTCCTGACCTCAAGTGATCTGCCTGCCTTGGCCTCCGAAAGTGCTGTGATTACAGGTGTGAGCCACTGTGCCCGGCCTATATTGTTTATTACCTATCATATGATATATATATTACTGATACATATACCATATATATTACAGATATACTGCTATGTAAGTTATATATACACGTTAGATGACAAGTAATACGTATATATACACAGTTGATGAAAAGTATGTTTTCATTTTACAGAGAATTCTTTCAAATCAAACCTTCAAAAACTCTAAAATTGCGCAAAGTGCGTTTTTCCAGATCTAGAAGTTACTTATGTACACTGGAAAAATTCCTTCACGTTTCTGGTATAAGAATTTAAATTAAAAGAGGAATGAAACAGTTTTCTATTCACAATATTTGTGAGGACGTTTTATATTCCTGCTTAAAGTTTAAGTTGCTGATTAAGGTATATATGCTATATGTATAGATGGTATATGTATCAGTAATATATGTATATCATATCATATATAATAAACAAAATAGGCCAGGCACGGTGGCTCAAACCTGTAATCCCAGCACTTTCGGAGGCCAAGGCAGGCAGCTCACTTGAAGTCAGGAGTTTGAGACCAGCCTGGCCAACATGGTGAAATTCCCTCTCTACTAAAAATGCAAAAATTAGCCAGGCATACTGGCACCTGCTTGTAATCCCAGCTACTTAGGAGGCTGAGGGAGGAGAATTGCTTGAACATGGGAGACAGAGGTCGCAGTGAGCCAAGACCGTGCCACTGGACACCAACCTGGGCAAAGAAGCGAGACTGAGCAAAAAAAAAAAAAATATATATATATATATATACACACACACACACACATACATATAATGAATGCCCTAAAAAATGAAAACATACTTTTCCTCTGAACATATGTATATAATATAGTTAATATTTTTCAAGTAAGCTCTCCTTTGTTTTGTTACTTTTTTTCCTGAAACACAGGCAGTTTTAATTTTTAGTTGGCTAAATCAACCTTCAGGATGTCTGCTTATGAGGCCATTCTTAGGAAGGCCTTTGTCAACATAAAAGGTACCTGTAAAACAAGCATTTGTGTTTTCTTCTGGTATCTTACTCATTTGCATATGTCAAAATTTCAATCTCTATTCCATCAGGAACTCATGTTTGTGACATAAAAGTTCATCAGTTTTCTTCAAACAGCAGGCATTTTTTCATTAATAATTCATCCTTTCCTACTCATCAATCCTTACTTCTAGCCTACATAATTTCAGTGTTTCTGGGTTTCCTACTCTGTTCCATGTGTTTCTCTTTTCAGCTGTCAGTAAACAATTAATTGTAGACATTAATAGCACATTTTGCTATCTAGAGGAGCAAGTGCTTTTTCACTCCATTATGAGATTTTTAAAACTGTCATCACAATAGTGAAAGACTGCAGGTGTCATACAAAAATGTTAAAACCTTGGTATTTTCATTCGGTCTACGTAAAATTGATAAACACAGAAAGAGCTCACATGTTGAGAAAAATGTGTCTTCCCATTCAAGAACACAGAACCCACCTCCCACTTCCAAGTAAGCAACCTACCTACACAGGTGGGTACGGTTGTAAAATGGACAGTTTTCTCTGGGAACTTTTCACCTACTGAAAATAACTCACGGTATTTTTGATAGGGGAATGAGTTTTCACACTAGGCACCTCCTACAATGTATAAACCTTGAATCTCTCTTGACATATTTGCATTGGCACAGTGTGCCAGTTTGGGGCCCAGGCTTAAAAGGTCCTAGATTCTTCTGTTATCTTATTCAGAATTCTTCCATGTCTATGAGAACAAGCCCATTTTAGCTTTCTGGAGGATAAAATAGCATGCTGAGAAAAGCCAAAGAGCCTCAGTCTACATAAAGCTCACTGCCAGAAGCAGAGCCACCTAATTCACAAGCAGCTGACCACTGACACCTGAAGGAGCCAATCTCAGCCTAGGAGAATAGCCCACCTGAGCCCAGCCTAAATTTCTAACCTGCTCAATCCTGAGCTAGTATGTTTTGGGATTGTTATGTAGTTATAACTGAGTAATATATACACCCATTAAACAGCACTATGAGAAGCTGAGGCAGAGGGATCACCTGAGGTCACAAGTTTGAGACCAGCTTCGCCAACATGCTGAAACCCCGTCTCTATTGAAAATACAAAAATTAGCCAGGCATGGTGGCACATGCCTGTAATCCCAGCTACTCAGAAGGCTGAGGCTGGAGAAGGGCTTGAATCCAGGAGGCAGAAGTTGCAGTGAGCCAAGATCATGCCACTGCACTGCAGCCTGGGTGACAAGAGTAAAACTCCACCTCACCAAAAAAAAAAAAAAAAAATTAAAAGAAGATGTGTGATATTTTAAAAACAACTTCGTTAAGGTTTAATTTTAACATCTAATACCATGTGCATATTTACAGTGTAGAAATTTTAAAATTTAAGTTCTCTATTACAATACTTTACAGTCAAACTGGGGCAAAATATTTGCGACTTACGTCCTAAAAAGCTTATTTTCCTAATTTATGAAGTCCCATAGACTGTAAGAAAAAGAGAAACATGGAAAAGAAAAATGGGCAGCTGCTATGTGGAAAGACAGATAAGTCTTGAAAAGCAGATTAAAAAGGAGAACTTTGAAGGTAGTACCTATCAAATGCCAACTCTTCTAACATTTTTGAGATACAGAAGTTTATATATTGCACTTATCTATTCTGGGTTTCTTAATCAGGAGTATATCCGAACCTTGAGGGTTTTGTTATTGTTTGTTTTGGCTGTTGTTATTAGAGACAGGTGTCTCACTAAGTTGCTCGAGCTGGACTCAAAATCATTTGTAGCATTTTAAAAATTATCTTATTGATAACATAAAATAATGGGGCATCACACAATCCACGTCCCTTACTCTGTGTCGGGATGGAAATTTCTGCCTCTTGAGACCCAGCTGCAGTCGCTCCACGCACCAAGCCAATCCCTGGGCCAACTGCTTGTACCTGTGACGGATTTGGGGCCGCGGCTATGAGAGGGCGCTGGGACACAACACAACGCCCGGCCCCACTCCATCCCCCTCCCCGCCTTAACTCCGCGGACCCGTGGATCACACGTGCCCGTGGATTCGCACCGGGGGATTCCACCCTTCCCGACTGACGCCCGCCCCTGCCTCAGCCTCAGCGCTTACGGGAACTTCCTCTGGGGCGGGTTTCTTTGAGGCCTTCTCGCCTCCACTTGCCACCGAGGCCCTGTTCCAGGTTTTCTTCCTCTTCTTTTGTGCCTTCATCGCCTAACGGGTGCGCTCTGGGGTCGGTGTTACTGCGCGCGGGTTGTCCTGGGCAGAGACAGACAGTGGAAGGATTCCCGGGGCTGGAAACCGGGCCGGGAAGCCGGCGTCTGCGGGAGGCGCAGTGAGTACCCGGGCCTGGGGCCCACGCTGCCTCCCGGGCATGAGGTCCTAGGGCTTGGAGGAAGGCGGGCAGCACGAGGGTGCCGGAGGGCCGCCGCAGTGCAAGGCCCCGCCACCCGCGCGTCTTCTCCACACTGCTCGCCGCCATGCGTCGCAGTCGCCTCCGGAACTACGCGGGGCTCCGAGTCCGACGCCGAATTCCGTCCTCTGGAAACGCGACTGCGACTCTAGGTTCCCCAGAACCGCTGGCGGGGCGGGGCGCGGGGGCCGTGAGGGGAAGCGGCGAGGCTGGGGCGGGGTCAAGTTGGGGCGAGGCGAAGCCAGGGCGGGGCGGGGCGGGGCGGGGCAGGGCAGGGCAAAACCCAGATACACTGTATCAAAATCTAAACTTCAAAGCCTTAAAGGTGATTCACACGCACGTTAACAATTGTTAGGTGGCAGTGATTCTATATTTGAAAGGGAAATGGATATATGGCTGTATTGATTTGTCAGAAAGGCAAAGACTGTATGTTTCAATGCATATACATCTTATCTTACAGAAAATGAACACAACAATAAAGTGGGTGTGGGGAAGGAGCTGAACCAGAAATTAAACAGAAATGAGACAGAATTAGTAGATGTTGAGGCTGAGCATCAGCCTATTACACTATTTTGGACATTGCAAGAATTTAAAACATGCTCCAATAAAACACTAGTATAAAAAAGAAAAGTCATCTAGAACACTAGCTCTTAGGCTTGTGCTTACATTTGGGGAGGAGGAAGAGGAAATAGTTGGTGGACAAAAACAAAGGTATTTCCATTCTATAGTTACACTAATGTATTAGCTTTGTTATAATTTATTGAACATTACATTAATATTTTATTGCATATATACTTCTGTATGCATGCTATGTACATCAATAAAAATTTAAATCTTACATACTTATCCTAACTTAAGAGTTCAGAATAGTAGCAATGTTACTCTGTTTGAATAGTTTCTTGAAACAGTCTTACTCTGTCGCCAGGCTGGAGTGCAGTGGCGCGAGCTTGGCTCACTGCAACCTCCGCCTCCTGAGTTCAAACGATTCTCCTGCCTCAGCCTTCCGAGGAGCTGGGACTACAGGCGCACGCCGGCACACCCGGCTAATTTCTGTATTTTCAGTAGAGATGGGGTTTCACCCTGTTGGCCAGGATGTTCTTGATCCCTTGACCTCATGATCCACCCGCCTTGGCATCATAAACGGCTGAGATTACAGACGTGAGCCACCGTGCCCTGCCGGTATTGTTTTATTTGAAAGGGGGCAATTAACACTCGGGCTTCATGAAATGGATATTAATATTCCAAGGTATTTATTCTTGTCCTGACCCTTGGGAGTCCCCCCTTAGTCTTTTTGATTAGTATTATTATTTTTTATTTCATTTATTTTCCTTTGAGACGGAGTCTCGCTCTTGTTGCCCAGGCTGGAGTGCAGTGGTGCGATCTCGGCTCACTGCAAGCTCCGCCTCCGGGGTTCACGCCATTCTCCTGCTGCAGCCCCCACCAGTAGCTGGGACTACAAGTGCCCCCCACCACGCCCTGCTAATTTTTTGTAGTTTTAGTAGAGACGGGGTTTCACCATGTAAGCCAGGATGGTCTCCATCTCCTGACCTCGATCCACCCACCTTGGCCTCCCAAAGTGTTGGGATTGCAGGCATGATAGTCTTCCATTTTTTACCTCAGTTGAGTAAGTAGCATGGTTTTAGTTTTGGGGAATGCAATTTCGTACAGCAAAGTCCTTCCTCTGTAATAATATATATATGTGTGTATATATGTATATATTTAGTATACAACTATATTAATATATATTAATATATAAGCATATAAATATATAATATATAAATATATAATATATATTTATATATTGATGTGTATATTAAATATATATATAAAATCTCATTAAAATAGATTACCTAATTGTCTCCTATCACTGAGCTCATCAATCACACCAAGGACAGAAAACAAACAGGTATCAAAACCTGGCTGGAATAACTACAGCTTCTTCTCTACCTCCTCACACTCTGGGCCATCAGATCCGTGCTAGGATGCTGGATCTCCATGGTCCTCTCCAACTAGCAGACAAGACAAAACCCTGCTTTTTTTGTTTTTCAGTTCCATGAAGGCAAGGCAAGTTGGCATTTTCCCATTTCCAAGACATGTACCAACAACATGTAACATCCCCTTGTTACTCAGCTCTGCTCTCATTTCAGAGATCACTGTACATCAACAGTTTTAGAGTGATAATTATAATTTCAGTATTGGGTGTCTCCCGTTTTGGTTTCACTCACACTGCTTCCTTGGAGCTACTCAACAAATAGTCAACTAACTTGAACTTTTTTTTTTTTTTTGAGAGGGAGTCTTGCTCTGTCGCCCAGGCTGGAGTGTAGTGGCCAGATCTCAGGTCTGCAAGCTCCACCTCCCGGGTCTACGCCATTCTCCTGCCTCAGCCTCCCCAGTAGCTGGGACTTCAGGCGCCCACCACCTCGCCCGGCTAGTTTTTTGTGTTTTTCAGTAGAGACAGGGTTTCACCGTGTTAGCCAGGCTGGTCTCGATCTCCTGACCTCGTGATCCGCCTGTCTCGGCCTCCCAAAGTGCTGGGATTACAGGCTTGAGCCACCGTGCCTGGTCTAACTTGAACATTTCAACACCCAACATACTATTAGAAAACTCAGGCCTGGCATGGTGGCTAACACTTTGAGAGGCCAAGGCAGGAAGATTACTTGAGCTCAGGAGCTCAAGACCAGCCAGGGAAACAGAGTGAGACCTTGTCTCTACCAAGAAAAGGAAAAGAAAAAAGAAAAAAGAAAAAAAGAAAATAAAAGAAGTCAAAGATGTGGCTCCTTTTATCCCATGCATGGGGATTATACTTAGACTAAAATGAACATTGAGATCCCTAGGGATAAAGGTCTTAAAAATCCTGAAGAAAGCTTGCCCTCTACTTCTAACTAATCTAGACTTCTGCTTCATTTCTGACTAAAAGGTAGACTAACTCATTGCTATTTCAAACTACCAGAACCAAACTATGAACTCTCGCCTAATATATAAGATGGAATAGTTGCAATTATTTTAAACTTCAATTTAGTATTAACTGATCTTTTAACATAAACACTTACTTTGTCAACCCACAAGAGTGTAATCTTCGGCCTCTCATCCACACGTCTTGAGTAAGCTGTTAACATTTTGCTTAAGAAGGATGTTGATAATACCTGGTAAGTCATAGTGCACAGTAAGCATGAGGGCTGTTTTAAAATAACAAAGAAATCAGTCCACTCAAGACCTTCAATAAAGACTTTTTTAACCCACTCTTGTGGGTTGACAAAATAAGACTTGGTGGTCAGTGTCCTCCCAATTGTGGGGTAGGGGCGAGGCTAGAATGGTAAAATGCTCAGAAGAAACCGGTGAAGAAGACAACTTCTGAAATAATAAATTGTACTATTCCATAGCGGAGGCCTTTTTGGACGGGTATTGTGTGATGGACTTAGTAAGTACTTTCTCGAACAATGTCGGGTCATCATTGATACATAGTTAACATATTAGTTAGGAGGCCTAGTATTAATAGGGTGTTGGAATAAAAGTGAAATCATATAATTAAACCAGATGTTATTAGGAGGGCTGAGAAGGCTTCTGTTAGTGGTCAGGGACTAGGTTTAACTATGTGGTAGGCATGGAATTGGTGGGTCATTAGGTGTTGTCGTGTAGGTAGAGGCTAACTAAGAGTGTGAAGACATAGGCTTGAATTAGAGCGACGGCAGTTTCCAGAATGCTTAAGAGTACTAGGAGTGTGAAGATAATTGAGGTGGTAGGGGGGCTAACAGTTGATAATGCTAATGCAGTGCTTCCAATTAGGTGCATGAGTAAATGACCTGCTGTGATGTTGGCAGTAAGCGTACAGCTAAGGCCACTGGTTGAATAAATAAGCTAATGGTTTCAATGATGACTAATATGGGGATATGGGGTGTGGGTGTACCTTGTGGTAGAAAGTGAGCTAGAGAGTTTTTAGTTTTAAAATGAAATCCTATGATTACTGTGCCTGCTCATAGGGGGATTGCTATAGCTAAATTTATGGATAATTGGGTGGTTGGTGTAAATGAGTGAGGTAGAAGTCCAAGAAGGTTGGTTATAGTGATAAAGATAATTAGGGATATTAGTATGAGGGATCAGGTTTGCCCTTTGGTATTGTGAATTGCTATTATTTGCTTTAGGGCAAGTGGAGTTAGTTTTTGTTGAACAGTAACTAGCCGGTTGTTAATAAGGTGGTTGGAAGTTGGAAATAGTAAGGAGGGAAATAGAATAATAGGTACTGCAGCAGGCAGGCTTAGAATTGTTGGGGCGATGAATGGGGTAAATAGATTTTCATTCATTTTGATTGTCAAGGGCTGTTGTAGTTTTGTGTGTTAATTTTTTGTGAGGAGGATAAGTGGTAATTTGTGTTTAGTAATTTTAGTTGTATGATGAGGAGTATAGATGTGATGATGGTTGGTCATGTAGTTGTATTTAGTTGGGGCATTTCACAGTAGAGAGGGGTTGCTTCTCTCGGTCTTTAACTTAAAAGGTTAATGCTGGGGCAGCTATACAGTGGGTCTGTAGAGATATTTTGTAAAGATTTATGGGTGGGGTGTGTTAGAGGCATAGAGTGGAGTGTGGTGGGTCTATAGAGTAAATACGGGTCCTATTTCAAAAGCTTTTAGTGGAATTAGTTCTACGACGATGGGTATAAAGCTGTGGTTGGCACCGCAGATTTTTGAGCATTGTCTGTAGTAGACGCCTGGTCGTATGGTGGTAAAGGTAGTTTGGTTTAAGCATCCGGGGACTGCGTCTGTTTTTAACGCTAGTGTAGGAAGGGTTCATGAGTGTAGGATGTCCTGAGATGTAATTATTATACGAACAGGAGCTTCAATTGGAAGAACTACTCGGTTGTCGACTTCGAGGAGCTGAAGGTCTCCTGGGTTTAAAAATAATGGTGGGAGTATATAAGAGTTAAAGATTATCCCTCCATAATCTGTGTATTCGTGGGTTCAGTATCATTGGTGTCTGATTGATTTGATAGTAAAAGAGGGTTATTGATTTCGTCTGTCAAATAGAGGCTGTGTAAGGATGGGAGAGCGATTAAGACTAAAATGAGAGCGGGTAGGATGGTTCAAATGGTTTCTATTTCTTGGGCATCTGTGATATTGGTGTTGGTTAGTTTTGTTGTGAGTGTTAGGGAGAGGACATATAAAACTAGAAAGCTAATTAAGAAAATTATTATAAGAGCGTGGTCGTGAATGAAAGGTGATTAGTTCCTCTATAATAGGGGATGTGGCGTCTTGAAGACCTAGTTGAACTGGGTGAGCCATTAAGATATACAGGATTCAACCTATAATTTAACTTTGACAAAGTTATGAAATAGTTTTTCTAATACCTTATTGAAAAAGTTATAGGGGTTATAGGGTTGGCTTGAAACCAGTTTTAGGAGGTTCTATTCCTTCCTTTTTCATCTAGGTTTTTTTTGTTTTGTTTTGTTTTGTTTTTTCTTTTTGAGACGGCGTCTGGCTCTGTCGTCCAGGCTGGAGTGCAGTGGCCGGATCTCAGCTCACTGCAAGCTCCGCCTCCCGGGTTTACGCCATTCTCCTGCCTCAGCCTTCCGAGTAGCTGGGACTACAGGCGCCCGCCACCTCGCCCGGCTAGTTTTTTTGGTTTTTTTTTTTTTTTTTTTTTTTGTATTTTTTAGTAGAGACGGGGTTTCACCGTGTTAGCCAGGATGGTCTCGATCTCCTGACCTCGTGATTCGCCCGTCTCGGCCTCCCAAAGTGCTGGGATTACAGGCTTGAGCCACCGCGCCCGGCCGTCATCTAGGTTTTATGTAGGTTGGCTCTTCAAATGTATGGTAGGGTGGGGGACAGCCGTGCAACCACTCTAAGTTAGTAGAGGGTTGTTCGATTAGTAAGACTTTATGTTTTGAGGCAAAAGCTTCTCAGGTTATATAGATTATTAATATTACTGCTACTAGGGAAATGAAGGAGCCCATAGATGATAGAATGTTTCATGTGGTATATGCATCAGGGTAGTCGGAATAGCATCGGGGTATTCCAGATAAGCCGAGAAAATGCTGTGGAAAAAAAAGTTAAATTTACGCCTATAAATATAATGGCAAAATGGGCTCTGGCATAAGCTTGGTCTAGTGTGTAGCCTGAAAATAGGGGAATCCGTGGATAAAACCTTCTATAATAGCGAATACAGCTCCTATTGATAGGACATAGTGAAAGTGGGCTACAACATAGTACGTGTCATGTAATACAATGTCTAACGATGACTTTGCTAATACAATGCCCGTTAAGCCTCCCACTGTGAAGAGAAAAATAAAGCCTAGGGCCCAAAGTATTGCGGGGGGATCATTTGGTATTGCTTCCGTGGAGTGCAGCAAGTCAGCTAAAAACTTTAACACCGGTGGGGATAGCAATAACTATAGTGGCAGAGGTGAAGTAGGCTCGTGTATCTACCTCTGTACACACTGTGAACATGTGATGGGCTCATACAATAAAGCCTAAGAATCCAATTGATATCATGGCTCAGACTATGCCCATATAGTCAAATTGTTCTTTTTTTCCGGAGTAGTATGTTACAATATAAGAGATTATCCTGAACCCTGGTAGAGTGAGGATATAGACTTCGGGGTGACCGAAGAATCAGACTAGGAAAATGAAAAAGATGTATCAAAATGCAGAAGCTAAGGTGAGTAAATCCACTGAAAACTGTGTAGAAGAGAGGATATGTCAACTCCAAGGTGAAAATCCGTGGCTTGAGCAGCAACTAGATGATGTTCATCAGAAAGATAATCAGAGAGAGAGATTAATAGTCAAGAGTAGTTTCTGTCTCTCCTCTCATTTTTTTTTTGTTGTTGTTGTTTTCATATGGCTTTTTTCCCCTGAAAAGTCTCATGTAGATAACCTGATCTGTGAATTTTTTTCACTAAGTATTTTTGAACTTTTTTAATTAATAAAGTGATCTTGTTATAAGATTACTTGTCAGAATTTCCCTAAATAGAAATATTAACGATTTTAATTTATTTTTCGGTAGATCACAACCTAAACCCAAAGTGTCAAGTGGTACTGCTACTTTGGGAACAATCATTTTTGACGGTGATCTTTAGTATTATCACTAGAAAGCCTCTTTGTGTAACATTTTCAAGATGTTACAGAAAGGCGTCCTTGTGAAATAGGGAATGATTATCACAGGAATTTAAAGAAGCGTAATTCACAAAGTCGTTAGAAAATAACACCTTGTTCAGCCTGAAGAGGTGTGCGGAAGGCAGAAAGAACAAGCCCCACTTCCAGTGCCTTGGTCACAGTGTTGGGGGCTAATTGCCTTCAGAGACGCTTTAGTTGTTTTTGATCCCCAACCAATCTAGTTCTCCTCTAGGGGTTGTGGCTCTGAATTATTCCTCAGTGCCAAATGTTTAATTGTTCCTAGATAATGGGTGAAATGTACCATTCACCTTTGTGAAGCCTGAAACTGGTTTACTAAACGCAAGTATTCCTAGATTTTTTTCTGTCCATTTTAGCTTTCTTAACCTACGTTAAGGAGTGCAATGTGACGTTTTGATAAAATTATTTCTAGTGAAGTGGTTCTTATAATCAAGCAAATCAACATATTCATTGTCCCATGCTGTTACCCTTTAAATACAAGTATTTCTAATGGAATCTTCAGAATCTTACAAATAGAGCCGTTTTACAAGGCAGCAAGTTTTGTCTTTGAGCCATACATCACTGATAGCCATTTGCCTTCCGTGTCTACTTTGTTTGAACTGCTTGTTCAGTATAAAACACCTTAGAAACACAGGCGCTCCTTTAGAACGATTTTAAAGTTATAATTCCTTACAACAGGTATGCCCTCACACATCCTCGGTGTGAAAGCTCTGTTTAGTGGGTTATTTGGTTTACTCTCAGGGCAAGTTTTTAAAAACTGCAAGTCATTAAGAATCATTTAAGGAAAAATGAAACACTAAGCCTTTGTCTTTGCTATCTTTACAGATGGAATAAGAAAAGAGCAATGATCAGCACCAAGCTCCTTATGGAGAAAGAGCGGGTGAAATATTTTCTCAGCACTCTTCCTACAAGGCGAGACCCAGAGTCACCTTGTGTAGAAAATCTTTCTAGTATAGGACTCAACGGAAAATAGATTCCCCAGCTGCCCGTAAGAATTCCTACTTCCAACCCACAGACTTCAAATGACTGCAAGAACGACTTGACTGAGGTTAGTTATGTGACCGTTTCTCTTTTGGGTTTCACTTCTCTAATATAATTCTTGTTTTTAATTTGGTGGAATACTGAGTTATTCTGTTGACTTATGCATGTTAAGTAAAGATCATAATTAGCTCTGTTAACACAGAAAGGAAATGGGAATTTTATGTTTTTTAATTCCCTGGAGCTCTCATTTTCAAGAGATATCCATTTGCTAACTTTATTCAACAAATCTGACTCAACTGACATGTTTAAAATGTCTTTAAAAGCTGCATTTAAGTTAGGTTTCAGAAATTGCATGTTATTGCCTGATAACTGATGATATACTTTGAGATGGTTTGGTTTACTCTCTATTTGACTGTAGTTTAGCTGTGGTTCATACTACATTTTTTTTTTCTTTTTTCTTTTGAGGCAGTGTCTCACTCCACCGCCCAGACTGGAGTGTTGTGGTGCCATCTCGGCTCACTGCAACCTCCACCTCCCAGGTTCAAGCAATTCTCCTGCCTCAGCCTCCCGAGTAGCTGAGACTACAGGCATCCGCTCTTACACTTGACTGAGGTTTGTGTTTTTAGTAGAAACAGGGTTTCATCATCTTGAGCAGGCTGTTCTCGAACTCCTGACCTTGTGATCTGCCTGCCACAGCCTCCCACAGCGCTGGGATTACAGGCATGAGTCACCGTGCCTGGCTTATGTCACTTTTAAAGTTTCTTTGCAGTGTCCGGGCATGGTGGCTCATGCCTGTAATCCCAGCACTTTGGGAGGCCAAGGTAGGTGTGTCATGATGTCAGGAGTTCAAGACCAGCCTGGCCAAGTTGGTGAAACTCCATCTCTACTAAAAGTTCAAAAAAAAAAAATTTCCGCGTGTGGTGGTGGGCACCTGTAATCCCAGGTACTAGGGAGGCTGAGAGAGAGAATTGCTTGAATCTGGGAGGCAGAGGTTGCAGTGAGCTGAGATTGCACCATTGCACTCCAGCCTGGGTGGATGGAGCGAGGCTCCATCTTGAAAATAAAAAAAATATTTAAAGTTTATTTGCACCATCTCAACTCTTCCCACCCACAATCACAACTGAATTATTGGCATCCAAGCACTTTAGCCCACATATGGATGTTTATTATATAGTAGAATCCAAAATAATTGCATTTTATGAATTACATGAAACACTAAAAAGTTCATTTCCATTTTTATGTGAAAAGCTTTGTGCTTGGCCGGGCGCGGTGGCTCACACTTCTAATGCCAACATTTTGGGATGCCAAGGCAGGTGGATCACTTGAGGTCAGCAGTTTGAGACCAGCCTGGCCAACATGATGAAACCCATCTCTACTAAAAATACAAAAATTAGCAAAGCATATTGGCAGGCATGTGTAATCTCAGATACTCAGGAGGCTGAGGCCGGAGAATCGCTTGAACCCAGGAGACAGAGGTTGCTGTGAGCCAACCTGTGGTGAAGTGACATCTGTGTTCAAGTGTAGAAAGGGCCCAATCTGGTCGATGAAGCACACGGCCAGCTTCTGGGTGGTGCAGGCACAGTGCCACAGCTTTTGTCACTTCCTGATGTGCCCCACCAGCACTGAAGAGACAGCCTGGAGACGGGACAAGAGGAAGGCTGAGATGGTGAGTGCCAGACTCTCCCTGGCCCTGAGCCTAACCCCAGGGTGACAGTCAACCTTTGGGAGTGGGAGAGCAAGATGGACAGTTTCAAGTGCTTCACTAAGAAGGTGGACAACAGGGCACTCAGCTCATCTTCACAGCCAATGAGTTGACATACAAGCAGATGATAATGACAGGCTTTAAGAAAGAGCATCGGAAGGTGGCCAGTCCGTCTTCAAGCTTCAGCCAGTCCTTGGAACTGGACCACGCCACCCACTTCACCACAGATGCCTTCCACACTGTCAGTGAGCGCTTTGCCAATCATTCCAGGCAGGACCTGGACCCAGTCATGGACCTGTTAGTGCTGTCTCAGGGACACCAGGCAACATCCTGAACTTCATCCATGTACACAAGGAAGCTCTTACCAAAGTCACAGAGAGCAGGCAACACGTGGCAGAAGAGAAGACAGAGGTGTAGAGGCGGATGACGTCAGAATCACAGGAACAGGATTTATTTCGCTACTTCAGTGGAAATTCGCTGCTTCCATCCAATTTGAATGAGAGACATGAAATCACGGATGCAGCATTTCTTGTAAAAGAGAGACTATTTTTTCAAAAATTCACCCAGGATTTGATAGATTTGAATGACTAGATATTTGATTGTGGACTGTTTCCAGTTCAAGGATACTTTCTACAGCAGAATAATAACACTAACAAAGAGCTAGTGCCAGCTATCGGTGGTAGTGCCAGGATGGTTTTGTGCTCAACTGAAATCCAGCTGAATACGGAACTGTGTAGGTAAGTGTTAATATGGTGATAGAAGAGAAACAGTAGCAAACATGAACTAAGTCATGCTACGAACGCCTGCACTACCGTTGTACCTTTTGGAATGAATGAGAATGCCACTTTATTGCTTTTTGAAGTGTGAATATTGTAGTGTCTATGCTGTAGACCTCAAACCCTATAAAGAATCTCAAGGAAGTTGGCTGGATAAAGCCCGCTGTGGATGTCTTGATACTCAGAGATTGATGATACAATTCGAATATGTGTCCCCACGAAATCTCATATTTAATTATATTTCCTAATGTGGAAAGTGGATCCTGGTATAAGGTGATTGAATTATGAAGGCAAATTTCTCATGAATGGTTCGGCGCCATCCCCTTGTACCATCCTCACAATCACGAGTGACTTCTCGTGAGACCTGGTCACCGAAAACTCTGTCACCTCCCTACTCGCCGTGTTTTTCTTTTGCTATGTGAGACAACTCACTCTCTCTTTGCCTTGCATGAAGATTGAGAGATTTCTGAGGACTTCCTGAATTGGAAGCCACTGTGCTTTCTGTCCACCCTGCAGAGTCATGAGCCAATTAAACCTCTTTTTCAAAATAAATCATACAGAAAATGGCCAATGAGGATTGGAGCACTGCTGTAAAGCTACCTGGGAATGTGGAAGCAACTTTGGAACCAGGTACTGGGCAGAGGTTGGAAGAGTTTGGAGGCCTCAAAAAAAGACAGATAGACGAGAAAATTTTTGGAGTGTCTTAGGGACTGCTTAAGTGGTTGTGACAAAATTCCTGACAGAAACATGGACAGCAAAGGCCAGGCTGAGGAGGTCTCAGATAGAAATAAACTTTCTGGAAAATGTCTTCCTTTTGGATATGGAAAGCTTCCACCATGCCTGTACCATCATTATACCTTAGAAGGAGTGAACTTGCTTTTATATCAGAGGCTCATAGGCGAAAGAGGCTGTAACCTTGACTCAGATGAGGCCTTGGACTTTGTAACTTTGAGTTAATGTTGAAATGAGTTAAGACTCATGCTGGCAAGGCATGACCGTATTTTGCAACGTGAGAAGGACATGACGTTCGTGGGGTCAGGGACAGAATAATATGGTTTGTCTCTATGTCCCCATCAAAACCCATGTGGAATTTTACTCCACATGGGGAGGCCTAGGTGGAAAAAGGTTTAGTCATAAAAGGGTGAGGGGTGGATCCTTCATGAATGATAAAGCACCTTGACGCTGTCCTCCTGATGGTGAGTGATTCTCAAGAGATCTGGTTGTCTAGAAGGCTGTGGAACCTCTTTCCTCACTCTGTCTTGCTCCTACTCCTGCCTTAGGAGACAGCTCATTATCCCTTGGCTTTCTGGTATAATTAGGAGGCTTCTTGATTCCTCCCAGAAACAGGAAAGGCACTTTGCTTCCTTCACAGCTTGCAGAACCATAAGTCAATTAAATCTCTTTGGTTTGCAATAATACAGAAAATTAGAACTGCAGAGAGAGCTGTGAAATACCTTCAAGGCCTTTTTCCCTTTGTCTGGGCTATTAGCACAGGGCTTCTTGATATGCAAATTTCTGAAATCTTCTTGAATTTTTCCCCTTAAATGGGGTTTTGTGTTATTGCTACATAACCAACCTGCTATACAGATACCTGAAAAAGTAGAAGCAGGCTCAGTAGTGGCTAGCAAAGATTGGGTGGTTTTGGAGGCATTAGAGCATGACAGAAAGATGAGGAAGTGGGAGGGAGTGATTTAATCATGGATAGCGGGGTGGGTGTAGAAGGAAAAATGGGGGGTGGTTACGGTGGGAAGGAGTAGATTGGCTGTGTAGGTTGGCTGAAGTGTGGTGGGTAGTAGTGTTATGCCCAGACCCTCTGTTCCCCAAAGAAGACCACCAGAGTCCAGAGTCAAAGCCAAGCGGCAAGGATCTTTACGACAAGTTCGAACTTGGTCCCTCCATTACACAGCATACAAGAGGGCCCCAAACAATGCGAGTGTTTGCTTTTTATAGCCCGAAAGTTACAGGGGAACAAAGGAATTCTTTTGGTTCCCGCGCTTTCAGTAAAACTTTGAACGGCTGCCTCCTTATCAGAGACTTTTCCAGGTGGTGTTTGTACTGGGCTCAGGAAGTTTGAGAGATATATGGCGATATGTGGTGGGATGGGAGGATGGGATGTGTTTGTACTGGGCTCAGGAAGTTTGAGAGATATATGGCGATATGTGGTGGGATGGGAGGATGGGATGTGTTTGTATTGGGCTTGTTTGTTTTGAGCCCGGGGCTGAGGAATGTGCCCGGCTCCTCTCAGTAGGAAGAGGGAGTTGCATTCTGCAGAGTCAGAGCCTCATGGAAAACCCCTCCTAGGGCAATGCACCTGTGGCTTTGCAGGTTTGAGCCCCCATGGCGGCTCTCATGGACTGGACTAGTGTTGAGTGCCTGTAGCTTTTCCACCCTGAGGGTGCAAGCTGTTGGTGGGTTTACGAATCTGGGGTCTGGAGGGTGGTAGTCCCCTGCGTGGGGAGTCCAAGTCCACATTTTCCTTCTGCACTGCCCTAGAGGCTTCCCAGGAACTCGGTCTCTGCAGCCGGTTTCTGCCTGGAAACAGTGGGAGGTGGGGGTGGGAGGCATATCCTACACCAATGGTTAAGCCCT